ATAGATAGATAGATAGATAGATAGATAGATAGATGATGGCAAGGGGAAAATGAATCAGAGAAACTTGCTCCTTCACCCTCAAGCTGCAGGTTAAGACTGACAGGTAAAAGTCAGTGGCAGTCTGACTGGTCTTGTGACCTCACCATCCACTGTGACCTCATATTCATGGGGTGTGTCTGTGCAGTTACCTAGGAAAACTCCCTGAGCTCTTATACATGCGCCTGCAAAGAATTAAGCCCTTTAGTTGCTGGCCCTGCAGTGCCTTAGCATGGCTACAGAGCTAGTAGAAAATTAGAAAATTTTGGAAAATCAGCATGTCCTGTGACTTGGATCTACATATGAAGCACATGATTACAACCAAAAAGTGTGCAGTGCTATTACAGAAAGTAATTCTTAAGTTGCATAAATATCAGTACCAGGGTTAAGCACAAGCTTAAAGAGGTCTGACTGCAGTATGTCAATACTAAATGTGTCACTTAAAGTGATGTGAGGTTTGTTTTGCTTTGTTTTGACTTTAGCAGCTACTGGACCCTGAGATGGGGAGTGCTGTGCATGGGGAAGTGGACTTAACTGTTCCTATAGTGTGTTACAGTTGACTCCCTTTCTGAAAGGGTGACAAATAGATGGGGGAGATCATTAGGGATATGACATCGGAAGAAAAGGTTAAGCCTCCTCCCTGAGAATTATTGTTTCAATCCTGATTTATCTGCTGGGGTGGTAGTGGGGTGTCAGCTGCTATTTAAAGTTGTTTAGCATCACATGTATGTTGATCCAAGGAACTGACTCAGGGAATCTACCACACCAAGAAGCTGTACCACACAATCTGAGGCCTAGGATCATGCATGGTCACATATTGTGCTCAGTCACCTCTGCAAAATTGTAAGGGATGCTGGGGTGCCTATCCTGATTGCCTTTTGTGTAGTTGGCACTGCTAAAATGTTGTCTTTGTTGACAAGCCAGTGATGTTGACAAGCCAGTGAGGAAGGTGTCATCTTGTGGACTTGCACTGAGACTTTTAATTGTGTTGGGTCTTGGCTGCAGGATACAAACAAGCTTATTGCATTCCAGACCAGTTACACTTTGAGAAACCTAAAGGGCTTGAAAAGGTCTCCTGTTTGGGGGAAAGTAAGCTATCTAAGGTTGTGGAAATCAAAAAAGACATACCAGGAATCCTCAGAGTGACCATTGCTTGTCATAAAACCCTATAGTCATGACAGCTGGCCATCTAGGTACATTTATTTTATTTATTTACATCTTAGACAAACTTTAAACATTTATGGGAACCATGGCCTCATCTACATTTCTGCCTGTTGGTGAGCTTGCTAAATGCATTAGAGTCTACCTAGGTGACTAAATGGAGGGAGGTGAACATCAATATGTGAAAAGGCTGAGGAAGTTGGCAATGAAAAGCAATGGAGCCACACAAGTTCCACCTATCACTGGAACTGGGAGCATGAAATTGTTAAGAAAAGTGATGGAGGGGACTGCTTTAATTAAGAACTAACTTTGGTAAACAAGTACCCCAAATTATTGGCAAGGCTTAGCAAGACCCAACAATGGATGTGGGGTTGGGGAGCACACGGCGGATAAAAAACACTGATACATTTTGGCACAAGAAAAAACAAAGTGCCAAAGAGGCTTCGGCAAGGGGCGGCATAGAAATGTTCTAACAATCATCATCATCATCATCATCATCATCATCATCTCTTTTGGAAAAAGCAGTGATGACCCTTACACATCTTTGCTGAGATCCTTCTCTATGTATAGGTTTCCAGTAAATATCCATTCCCTTTAATAAACCCTTTCACCACCTTGTATTGGCCAAACAAGAACACAGAGCAAAGCAAAGCAATTTGTGCTAGCCAGGAGAATCCTAGCAAAAGTGAAAGCAATAATACATAGGTCCAAGGTATTCTAGACCTCCTACCAACTTTTTGTTATCTTTACTGAGTCTTGCACTTGTTACCTTCAGCACCTAGCAGGAGAGTCCATATTCATTTCCAGACCGTGAAAATTTCACCTGGTGATTTGTGCAGAATTCGAAGACAAGAACAAGGTCAAATTATTTCCTGTGTCAATTGGCAATGATCTTCTGCATACTCCTAAAAGGGGTTGCCATAATTTGCATAGTTATCCAGAGCAAGTGCTCGCCTCCCACATGTCTTGAACTAAAACCCTCGGCATCTTCACACGGGTTGGGGATACTGGGAGTAGTAATCCCAACACATTTTGGGGAGCAGCAAGCTTAGCAAACGATGATCTAGCGGATTTCTTGTTTTCGTGAAATTTTGGAGGGCTGTTTGCTAACTGGAAGAGGAGGCCGCCGTGCGCAAAACGCACTACTATTTGCAGTTTGCACCGTGAGATATACGGCATATTTCCATTTTCAGCTCCAGAACTTTGCGGGGGTAAGAGGAAATGCTACCAATATCCAGCCAATCACATGCTGAGAAGGAATCGGGGGAACAGGAAGGCGCTTAGATCCTCCCTCTTCACTTTCGCTTTCGCTTTCGCTTGCCTGGTGGTTGGAAAAGGCGGCCCCCATAGGAGCAGGTTGGTGAGTTTCCCCCCAAGTCTTCTCCCCGGGATTGCTGTGAGACTAGGCTGGAGACAAAGCTTCTCGGGTAAGTGCAGATGGAGAAAGGCTCGTCGCTTCCTGGGGTTTTTATCTGGGGGGGGAGGGGGGTCGTCCTCTCATGACTGGCTTAAACATGTTCAGCAACATTGCGGAGCAACCTGCGGCGGCCAGTTTCCCTCTGGCGACGTGGGATGCCACTAGCTGCAGTCTTTTCAACCCGCTTTTGGGACATGAGTTAAGAACGTAAGAAAAACCATGCTGGATCAGACCCAAGGTCCATCTAGTTCAGCACTCCGTACTCACGGTGGCAAACCAGCTGCGTGCGGGACGGGTGCAAAACTTTGCCTTCTCAGCAATTCAGCAACTGGTGTAGGAAGGCAGGCAGCTCTGCTGAATGAGGTAGCACGTAGCCAGCAAGGCCGGTAGCCACTGAAATTCTCCTGTCATGAATCTGTCCTCCCTCCTCTATGTCTGTCTCCCTCCGTAAGCCCTCATCTGTTCTTTTTTTCCTTCTTGAAGTGCTTTTCCCAACTTGTCTTCCCTTCCCTTCGTCACAAGTCTCCTCTCCTTCCCATGCCTCTCTTTTGTAGCGCTGTGCCCTCTGGTGGGGTGTGAGTGCCATCTCAACCCTATACGATCCCAATGAGCTAATGAAGAATCTGAAGGCAGTTGTTATTTTCAGTGTGCCCTATATCTAAAGCTCTCAAATCAATGCACATAAATAAAGCAAACAAGTAATAAAGCCAATTATAAAGCACATTATGATACCTTAAATAAAAGGCATCACATTTTAAAAGCAGCAACAGAGATTTGGCTTTACAAAGAAATAAATAACTGAGCAGCTAAAAACACAAGATCATTTTAAAATATAGCATTAGACTATATGTTAATCTAATGAAAGCAGCAGTAAAAAATATTTTTAAAGGCATGGGAGGATTTTAAAAAATCATAATCAAGAAAAATCACCGAACTTGGTGCTCAGTGGATCTTTCTTGGGTGTGCGGGCAATACACAATTTGAGGCCACTGCAGAAAATCCCCACTGATGCAACTACCTGGACTTCACATTTCACACAGATCTTACAATTAACACAGCCACCCTTCCTGCTGCTTTATGATTTAGTTTTGATTAAAGTTTATCCATTTCAATGTTTTGCATCCTTCCTCTTCTTTCCACACACCTTTCTCTGTAAAACAGATCCTAATCTCCCTTTTAGAAAGTTTGAAAAGTTTAGTTACTGGCCTTAAGAACTTTAAAATAAATATGCTATGTTTTCTTTTTAAAATTTTGGCCACACCATTTTTACTTTTGACCCCAACCCACAAGGGGCTGGAAAAGGTTCTGCATCCCTGCTGCAAGTTATGTAAGGACAGACACTTTGAGTTGCATATTTTTTCTTTGCATGGCAAGCTACACCTGCTGAAATGGTCTTTTTATGCAGTTGTTAAAGGTGCTAGAACCTTACCTTCTTCTGTAGTCAGGCACTCCACAATTGACAGCAGCTTCCCCAAGTGGATGCGCAGAAGATGTTGTTGACTACATAACCCATCCTCCCCAACAAGCAATTCTCCCTGAGCTGATGGGAGATGTGGAGCTCCCCAGAGGTTCTTCAGTTAAAATGGGGAAGGTGCTTTACAGAAATTTCAACATCTGCCTTTACTTCTTTTGCCCAACTAGAAAGGATTTAGCTTACCCTCTTATTCTGGAGCCCTCCTAGCCATTTCCCTCTTCTGTGTTTCAGAAACAGCTCTCACTTGGGGTCAAGATGTCTGAGAGTGTTTGCTGCAAAATTGCTAACTATCTTGATGATCTGACTGAGGAGGAATTCAAGAAATTTAAGATGTACCTTCAAAATAAGGAGGAAGGCTACAAGCCCTTTCCATACTCTAAGCTTGAGAATGCAGACAAGATGGATATTGCACGCCTAATGGTCATGGCATACGAGGAGGCCAAGGCAGTGCAGATAATGGGCAAAATCTTGAACCAAATAAATAAAAAGGATCTATTGGCACAAGTCAGAAGTGAAATGGCGGCATGTGAGTATAATAAACCCAACCTACCACACACTGGCAGCCCTGGATAATCTTGGGTTTTCTTTCACACTTTTTAATGTCAGTCATAGCCCCTCCACAAACCACTCAATTCAGATAGTGACTAGGTTCAGACAATGATACCCTGCATGAAAGGGGTGAATATGGGTTGAGTGTGGGTTGTTGTTGAGTGGTAGGTTGTTGATGGAACATAGGCTATCACATTGTCTGAATCAAGCTGCATCACTGTTGAATTGTAAACTGGCTATTGTTTGCCATGGTTTGTTTTCTGAATTAGGTTCAGGTAACAGGATAAGCCACATTCAGTAGCGACCTATGGTTCAATGACAACCCACACTGAACCCATAGTGGACCCTTGAGTGTTGGTTATAATGTTGTTTTGAACCCAGCTTCACTACCAAGCCATGTTTTGTTAGCTACAAATAAGCCATGAAGAAAGCCCAGGATCTGTTGTTGGTATGTGATTTGTGGGTTGTTCGCTGTGGTTTGCAATCTCAGCTAGGCACAGGCAACATGATAACCCACATTTCAACAGCAACCTGCATTCAATTCACACTCAACCCTTAAATGTGGGTTGTATCATCTGGACCCAGTTTGTGTGGTGAATACCCTCCATTCATCAGAGAAGCATTGTGCCCTTTTTAGAATTGCAAAGTAGGTATGTGTAAAAGTGGGGAAACCACCAACTACTGGCAGTTGAGGAAAAGCAGTTCATCTGGTAAACCTTTGAGGACCAGATTTGGCCCCAGTGATACTCACTCCTACTGCACTAAGGACACACACACACACATCACAGCATCACTTGGGCATGTTTGTGGGGCTTCAGTTACTAGTCACAAGTTAAAGAGTGTGCAGTTTCCACTCGATGGTTACCACCATGCTAGATAATGCAATGAAGCAGTCAGGGAGAGAGGTGCAAATTACTTATTTGCAAATATTCATTATGGTTTCTTTTTGAGGATAAACCTAGATCATACACAATCAATTAGTATCAATGATATAGCTCTGCCATATGAACACCATCTGAAAAGGTCTTCATTGTTGTGCAAGTGAAATGTGCATCGAAATGTTGTGCTGCGGAGGGTTGCTCTTCAAGGTTCCAGTTGGCCATGCCCTCTTCCAAGATACTCAATTCCACCTCCCTCTTTATTTTATTTTATTTATTTATTAGAAGCTTTTCTAGGTCATCCACTACAAGCATCTTTGGACGGCTTACCAGAAAAAGAAAAGGGGGGAACCCCAAAAATATAAAACAAAACAAGGCACTGTATCCGACAAGGCACTTGGCACTGCAGATGCCAAGGCCACTTAATGTGCCTTGTTCTTATTTCCTCCCACCAGGATGGGGTTTTTCTTTATAAAAAGAAAAAAAGTTTTTCTTTTTATAAAAAGTTTTTCTTTTTGCTTTTGCAAACGTCAGGGTTTCCTGAGTCTGTGCATACCTTCCTTTTTTTGCAGAGATGGCACCATTTTGGCTGCAAAGCATTCACACTCAAAAAATGTCATTTTAGATGGAGAAAATGTAAATGGCCCAAGCTTCAGGGCTGCTTGAGAAGCGGAGCTAGTGCTTGTGTGCACATGTGGCAGAGGTGTGTGTGTTGGGGTGGTAGGGCCAAGGCAGGGAGGCCCTAATAAAATCCAGAAGCCTCAGTCATGGTTCCTCCCAAGTTTACTCAAGTCATTTTGCCCCATTCATATCACTCTGAAAATAGTAATTAAGGGGGCTCATTACAAAAGGCAGGAAGAGCTGGGAAGTTGTAGATGATGCATCTAGAGGGTCCCAGATTGGGGAAGGATATTACACCAGGGGTAAGACAGGAAGTGGATCTTCAGAAGTTTTGGATTTCAACTCCCAGCATCCCTGACCATTGGCCATGCTGTCAGGGGAAGCCAAAACATCTGGAGATGTCCATTTTGCTCACCCTGCTCTTTACCATACTAATCCTAGTTACAAAAATCTGATCCTAGTTGGTTCGGTTCAGTGATATGCCCCCTCTGAGTGGGACACATTTCTTTCCCATTACATCATTATGTAATGATGATTACATAAGCCAGGATCCCTTATGATTCATTAATTAAAAACAAAACAAAAGTAAGAACTGCCATGTTTTAAACAGATTTCTTTCAGCCTCCAAAACCCTTGACAAAGGAAGAAAAAAGAGGATGGGAAAAGAAGATATACGCCGACCTCCATGAAAAGTTCTCAGGGACTCAAAAGAAAGGTGAGATGCCAGCGACTGAATCAAAGGTGCTTCTCAGTGAAAGGCTGGGGGTTGCTGCAGCAAGGGTGGGGGCAGAAGATTCATCTGGATCTATTGGTAGATCTTTGGGAGATCTGAAACAGATGCACAGGACTTCTTACTCCAGCAATGCTACAGAAGCCACATTTTTCCCCACTTCTCCACTATTTTAATTAGGAGGCTGAAACAAAGGATGGCGATATGGGCATTTATTGTATATTCATGATTCTTCACTCACAATAATTTGCAGGTGCTTTCCACAGCATCATCTCCAGTGCTGGCCATGCATTTCCACAGGTTGTTCTCCATTGAAGAATGTGTTCTATAATTTGAAAATGGCAGAATGAAGTCAAATATACAGAAAGGAAGAGAATGGAGGGGGTGGAGGGGAAAACACTTTGATACTGCAAGGAATGCCTGCTTTACCTGTGGGCCTGCAAGTGAGGAAACATTCAGGAATTTGGAAGGTGCTAGCTTCACCTCTTCCCTGGAGCTAGAGATAACGACCCCCAGAGGCTGGGGCCCCAAATCTCTCTGAGGCCTCTCCTCACCATTCTGTTGCCCATGGGCACTTGCAGAAATAAAGGTCCAGGAGTACCGATGAACTCTGTTGCAACTGGTCCCCTGCAGTAGCTGGCATTTGCCCACATGGACATCTCATCCTGCTGCAACATATCTGCCATAACTTGAATCTTTATCTCCACATCCTGCCCATACATCTTTTTTCACAGATAGAGGCTTCCTTAAGAGACAGGATCCACACATGCGCACACACACACAGAGAGAGAGAGAGAGAGAGAGAGAGAGAGAGATTGAGAGAGATTTTAGAGGACCTGTAAATTAGCATATGCAAATTTCTCCTGTGGGTCTGAGCGCTGGATCTTAGCTAGCACTGCCTCAACACCTACATTGTGGTGGATTCAAAATGGGACCAAGTTGTGATGTGCACACAGAAACCTAACACACCTAGGAAAAAGAAGCTGGGGTAAACTGTTGCCACGGGGGAGCTCTACCTGTGAGAAACCTGAGCATTTCTCCTCTCCTTGGAGAAATTCAATAAAAAGTCCTCCATCATTCCCCACACAGTATCTCAGCCCACAAAGAGGGTGGTGAATTTTGAGAGAGCATTTGCACAAAGCTTTGGTTATTTCTTCAATTGATTATGGGTTTGCTCCAGAATTAGTCCTACTGAGAATAGATCCATTGAAATAATAATAGTCTAAACTGGTAATGACTAACTGAAACCCTGCATGTTTCAGTGGGTGCATTTTCTACATGTATGTAGAACAAGGGTCAAATACTGTATGTTAGGAAACATGGAAGCTGTCACCCTATGTAACATAAGTCCTATAGATTTCAGTGTGTCCACTTCCTATGTTTGACTAATTGTAAATCCAATGCAGTATGTTGATGTATTTAATGTTTCCTCTGTCTTTGTCTTTAGTGGAGGTGACCCTGGACCCGAAGACAGCCTTCCCAACACTCATCCTATCTGAAGATCGGAAAAGTGTGTATCTTGGCAAGAAAGCCCAGACTCTTCCTGACAACCCCAAGCGCTTCAATGTGTTACCATGTGTCTTGGGAGCAGAAGCCATTGACTCTGGGACTGTAGAATGGATAGTGGAGGTGGGCAAGGCCAAAGGTTGGTCCATTGGGATTGTCCGTGAATCGATCAATACAAAAGGGCACCAATATTTAACTGTGAATGAGGGATATTGGTTGCTGCAGCTGAATAATGGAGAATACATGGCCTCTAGCACCCCTTCTAACACCATCATACTGTGGAAATCGCCACAACGGATCAGAGTACACTTGGAGTTTCTTTTTGGCATCCTTTCATTTTACGATGCTGATTCCATGGAGCATATTTTTACATTCAATTACCCTTTCTCTGAGAGGGTGCTTCCTTTTTTTGAGGTCTGGGACACAGAGATTCCCCTGAAAATCTGCTCCGTTGATTCATAAGGGCACGTGCACAAGGCAGACTTATTTGGGAGGAAGGGGCCCAAGGAGGCGATTCTATTCTCACCATTTTTCTTACCTAACCAGCATCCAACTCTCCATGACTACTGAACCTACTCAGCCCTCACTGGGCTATTCCTGTTCCTTCTTTCTTTAGAGGGGTGGCAGTCATCCACTGAGATGTGCTTAATTTTTCTTTTGTAATTCTGCTAAGCTTGATGCTCGGTACGTACTGACACCTTCCACTTATTTCTCAGTGGCCCCAGTTTCTGTTGGGACTCATCACCTGAGTAGATTATTAAAGAGAGTGATGGGGAAATGGGAACAGGAAGTACAGGTCAGTTCACCTTCTAGCCTTTCACTTCAGAATATCTGCAACTGAACTTGCACATGCTGTGCATTTGCTTCCATTCTGAACAAACATTGTGAGACACAATGTTCAATTGTGCTTATTTAGGATGTTCAAAGTGATGCAAAATAACTTGAGATCAGTTTATCTGAGTGGAAGGTCAGCCATACTCTCTCTGCCAGTTGTCTTTCCTGAGAATGTAAGAAGCAAGCAGGCCAAAGGCCTACCAAGGCCAACATTTTGCTCCCGCAATGCCCAGCCACTTGCCTCTGAGAAGCTCATAATAGAATAAGAGTGCCGTAGCAGCTGCCCAGCCAGGTTTCCCAGCAAGTGGTATTGAGAGACATCTTGACATTGATGCTTTTGTCTAATCTCCCTTTAAAGACATCCAAGTCGTTAGCCAACTGCACAACCTATGGGCGCAAATCCCAAAAATTCTCCCCTGCCTCCCCCATCAGGATCGTTCTGATAATGTTCCATCTTAGGGTGGCATGTGCCTTGCTTTACAGAGCGCTGTCTGGTCTAGGCCAGGTCCATCCTCAACTGGCCTCTCCGAAGGACTACGTAGTCTAAGCACAGTTTAAAGATATGACTTATCTTGAATATGATCTAACCCAGCATGTTGATGAATGTGGGAGCAGTTACCTCAATGTTTCTTTGGTCCCTGTCTTTAGTAGAGATGACCCTGGACCCCAAGACATTTGTCCTCACTTTTTCCATTTCTGAAGATCAGAAAAAGTGTGCATTTTGGCAAGCAAGCCCAGGCTTTCTGACAACACTCAGTATTTCAATTATTTGCTGTATGTCCTGGATGCCAAAGGCACCAACGCGGTGACCATAGAGTGGGTGGTGGATCAGGAAAGCAGGTGGCGAGTCAAACAGCTGCAAGAGTCTTGTCAATATCATCAGGGTTCAAAAGCTGAAACTGGTTCCATGCCAGAGAGACAAGAGATGCAAGGAAGTGGCAGCCACACAGACTCTACTGTTGAGTTTGGGCCTTCAACCTTCAGGTGTGGTATTAGCACTGGGGAGCCTGGTTCAGATCCCCACTTGGTCATGATCCGCACCCAGTGACTTGGTCCAGTGACCATTTTTCAACCACTCCTACTTCACGGGGTTGTTGTGAGGATCAAATAGAGTAGAGAAGAGAGCCATGGATGATGCCACCAACTGCTCAGAAGAAGGACTGGGTAACGTAAAAGCAAATATTAATGTGTTGTTCTTTGAACATTGCATGTCCTATAAGTAACATACTGAAAATGTACACAATTTTCAATCAAAGGCAACCTCAGTTAATGTATATACCAGGCTAAGGAGCTCAGTTCTGCTTGTGGACAAGAAGGTATGGTTAGGGCAGAATGAGGAGAAACAGAATGGTTTCCAATAGGCAAGGATTTATTTTATTTCTCTCTCTGTTCAATCCGTACACAGAACTTATCCTTCCCACTGTCTGGGACTAAAAGCAGCATGCTCCCTGTCCATTACCCATGCCAGCTGGGGCTGGTGAAAGTTCACATCCAAAAAAGAAAACCACACACAAAACTGATGGGATTCAGGTTGTGGAAGGCTGAGCTAGTTGTGGGTGGAAGAGGGAATGGCTGGGAAATGACCAAATAGAAAAAGGGATGGAGCTAGGTTTCGCCTCCAGGCCTGAGGTGGTAAACCTAAGGTTTCATCATAATTCGTTATGTGAAGAAAATCAGATTATTAAGGACAATCTAAAATGTGCTTATACTTGGGAAGGGTAAAAACAGTTGGCAGCGTGTCTCCTGCTGTGACTGTTTTGATGAGCACATCTTGGAACAGAAACTGGACCTTGTGGATAATGAAACAGAGGACAAAAGAAGGCTGTGAATTGCATAAAATAAAAATATGCTGATTGGTAAACATAGGTGCAAATTTAGTAATAGTTATTAGCAGTTACGGCTTGGAACCAGGATATGTGAAGGAATGTCTCCTTCCTTATATGCCCTCAGCCCCATTAAGATCTGTGGGAGAGGCCCTGCTCCAGGAACCCTCCCTGAAAGAGGTAGAAGGGATAGCTACTCGGAGTAGGGCCTTCTCTGCAGTGGTGCCCAGATTATGGAATGCGCTTCCCAGATAGATTTGCCTGGCACCAAGCCTATATTCTTTTCTGCCCCAGGTCAAAATCTTTTTATTTAAATGTCATTTTAAAACTTAGAAAGTTAGTAGTTCAACAGTCGCTTTGATTTATTTTATTGGTTATATACGATTTTATTGTATTCTGTTGATTGCTTTTATCGATTATGTTAAAGTAAGCTGTCCTGAGACATTGTCATAAAGGATGGCATATAAATGTTTTAAATAAATAAATAAATTCATCCTTAACTGATTTCTGTGCTTAGGACAAGGTAGTGGGGAAACACAGATGGGTTAGACATGGAAGACAATGAGGTCTGATCCCCCTGCAAAATTTCCTGAATAAGATGGGGTGATGCAAAATAAAAGCTTCATCTGGAAGCAAAGAAGCTTTGGTGTGGGTTCTGCTCAGTGCAATTTCACTTCTAGCCTAGCTTTGCTACCAAAATGGCTTCAGTCACCTTGATGGATGATGTATGGTCTACACCAGAAGGAAGGCAGAAGAACGGTGGCCCTGAACATTGGACTGGACATTTCAGCAGCAATCTTTGATGCAGTTGACTGTGTTCCTTTTAGGTTGGCCCTCTGGGGTGGTAATCCAGGGCTTGATGGTTCAGTGGTCCCTGTAGGAAAATATGTTGCATGGGGACTATTGTTTGCCCCATGGCAATTACAGTGGGGATCTTGTCAGTGTTTTATTTGAGCTACAGTACCAAAGTTCATGTTTTTCAAGCCCATACCCTATATATTTTGGGTCTCATTCATGGTTTTCCATGTGGCTAGAAAAAAACAAGGCATTTTATTTGGAAACTCATGCGCTGACACAAATTCACCTAGTTAATTGCATCTCTATTCTGCTGTCTCTAAGGAACATGACAGTTAAGACTGGAACTCAAGGGACTTAAATTGTCTTGATTGCTTCATGGAAGCAAAGGTTTTGTTTGTGCTAGATCAGATTTTTAAAAAAAACCTATGCAGAATGTTTTGAATCCTTTTACTGATAAAGTTGCTGCATCACTTAGCTATTCCCAACCAATTTTACATTCAGATAAATAAACAGATGCATTCCAAACTTTTTAAAAGTCTGAAAATACTTTCATTAAACAGAGAATTATGAAGGAATTGTAGCAGAGAAGACAAAGAATCTCTGGAACAGATCAGATGTAACCAGCAGTAAATTACTAAGGATGAATTTTGCATGATTCAAGTATATTTGACACACACATACCCCCAGTCCCACAGGGGTCATTGAAGGGGACATTTCTCTCCAGAAAGGCAGTGGGGGAGGAGGGACACCACTCCTTTCTGCAGTGTTGTGCATGGAATGAGAAAGTGATAGAAATAATTCTTTTGTACATTGCTTGTGTGTGCAAAGCATATAAGAGAAAGTAATGAAAAGATTTTACAGGCACAAGAAAATCAGCTGTAGTGAGTGACTTGTAGTGCTGTTCCTGTGTCCAGAGCAACTCCTCATTGTGAGACTCCTCAAGTACACAGATAATCCTGACTGCAACATCCCTACAGCCTTTCCTTGAGTCTGACTCTGCTCCAACCACTGTACTGTACTACTCTGGCTCTCTCAAACCCATTCACATACATATGAACAGGTATGCAAATACTGAGGAGAGGAGCCACCACTCCAGATAGGCCTAGCTGTGCCTGCTTTGTTGACTTTATTTATTATTATATTTATATTCCACCTTTTTTCCTCCAAGGACCTCAGGGTAGCTTACATAATTTTCCTCCTCCTCCTCTCAGTCTTAACCCCACAACAACCCTTAATCCACACAATCTTGAAATTTTTCCATGCTGGTTCTCTGCTGGTAAATGCTCTGTTAAGTTGTTCATTTTTTAGGGGTTTGCTCCTTGTCTGTTCCCTCCGGCACAACCAGGTGAAAATGGCAGCTAGTGGAACCATTTCTGGAAAAGGATCCAAACAGCAGTGGGTCCCAGCTGAGCTGAGGACGTGGGATCTCTTCCTCAGATGCAATCTGGCTTGGGTGCCGTGTGTCCTATATTACAGGGGTTAGAGCTGCCTGGCCAACAGCTGCATGAGCAAGCAAATCCACAGGTCACCTGGTCACAGTCTTCCTCACTGTGATTAGATGTGTTGCATTCCTATTTAAATGATAGCAATGATTGCTATATTGGTTTGTTGCTGCTCTCACATGCCTTCAAGTCATCTCTGACTTATGGTGACTCTGCAGATGAAAACCCTCAGAGTGTCCTATCTATGATGACCCTGCTCAATCTTGTAAACTCAAGACTGTGGCTTCCTTTAGGAAGTCAATTCATCTCATATTTGGTCTTTTCTTCATCTGCCTTTAACTTTTATAGGCTTTATTGTCTTCTCTAGGGAGTTGTCTATATTGGTACCCTACACATATGAATGATACATATGCAAATCTCTGTCTTCTTTTCTCCTCTTTGCTGGCATGGTGTGTCCTCTTGTTTGGCTATGCCTAAATGACCACCCTACCAGTAACAGAAGCCATTTTGTAGCATGCCTTTCTCTTCCCTCCAACAGTTCAGGATGACATAAATTTATTATTTATTTATTTAAAACATGTCTATGCCACCCCCATCGCAACAAAGCCTCAGGGCAGCTCACAACATTCATACAAAATACAATTAATAATTTAAAAACTGGTACCATCTCGGCTATATATATTAAAATCTATAAATACAATAATAATAAATCAACAGTTAAAATAACTTTTAAATAAATGAGGCTGGGGCATCTTCAGATTTTCAAACTGGCCACTTCTCTAAACTTTTGTAGGATTTTCTCTAGGCTTTCTCCAGGACCAAACTCGATTAAATCTCTTTTTTAAATTTAGAATGCATATGGGGGTGGGGGGGAATCCAAATGTGCTCACAGCACTGCGGGATATTTTTAACCCTTTCCCCCAAGCTGTTTTCCCAACTGGAATCAACCTCTCCTCCCAAAGTTGCAATTCTCTCTGCAAGACAAGGCATACAGAGACTGCAGACAGTTGCAGCCTTCCAGTTGGGGAGCTGCGCATTGAGATACCTACCTCTTCCCACCTCCCTTCTCCCACTTCCCCAAGAACCAGTGGATATTTAAAAGACCCCATGGCAGTGCAGTGCATTGCCTTCCTTCGATTGCCCACTTTTAGATGGACTTGTCACTTGCCTTTCGTGCCATTTAGGAAGGAAAGAAGCAGCAGCTCGGCTGCTCTGGTTCCCAGTGAGAGAAGCTGGCCAAGACAGGTGAGTAGTTTTATTTACATTTGTGTAAGTGTGCACAGTCCCAATTCAGTACACATATTGCAGTCAAAGAAATGAATATAAAATCTAGTATTTATTTTGGCTTTTATATACTGTTCAATAGCACAGAGCTCTAAGAATGGTGTAAAATAAAACCCTATCAAAACCATAGTTTAAAATCAACAATATCAGCAATCAGTTAAAAATCAGGTACACCAATCATCAAACATCTCTATGACCAATAAGACTGAGCCAACATAAATGAAGATCAATAAAATCAAGACAGTAGATGACAATAATTAAGAACTAAACCACAGGTACCTATAACAATATACTAAAAGGCAATATAAAACTGAATAATATCAACAATTAAAATAGCAAGACAACAAAAGGGCTTTAACGTGGCACCAAAAAATGTAGAATTGGTGCCAAATATATATCCCTGGGGAGCTGGTACCATAAATGGGGTGCCACAGCAAAGAAGGCCCTTCCCCCTGTGGCCACCTTCTTCTTTGAAAGGTGGCTCCTGAAGAAGGACTTCCATAGATGATTTTAGGGTCCAGGTAGGTGTATTGGGAGGAGATGTTACTTTAGATATCCCAAGTCCTAAACTTATATGCAAGAAGAAGTTTAACTCTAAACTTACAACTGCACCATTTTCATGGAGGAGTTGGTATTTGATTGAACATGCTGAACAGATGTTGTATAAAACACCTATATAGAAATGAATTGCTGGGGAACTCACTTAAAGCACAATCCAGTGGGGATGCCTGTAATTGAAAGATTACATGCATCATCTGGAGAATGGGAGGAGTGTGAGGTTGCAACTCAACTGGATGCCCAATTTCAGCTGCCCAGCAAAGGCACTTCACAGTAGGAGGGAAACAGCAGGAGATTCGTACAAATATGAGCGCATATTCATACCGGTTCTATTCAGATTCACAAGATTATAGGAAGAAAAAAATATCCATCATGGAAATCCAGTTAAAAGAAATCTTGGATTGCTTAGAAAATCTCACCATAAAATGGTATCCATCCAACAGAGTTCAGTTCTGTTTGTAGAATGTTAACCCTGAGATGGCCAAGGATAGTATTATTTGCAATCCATAACAAAAATACCCGTTTTACCACTCCTGCTTTTATGGAAGGAGGTCTTCCATCTCCTGATTCTAAGCATCTTACTGTATATAATAACTGAAGTCAGAAATTACAGATGATGTATTCTGCTCCCAACACTTGTAATGATTAGTTCAATGAATCATTTACTTTCAAGGAAAATGATGTCTTGACCAGTTAAAGTACAGTAGATCTTAATGAAGCACAGATTTTTCACTTTCATGAAGTCCATTATGCTATTGAGCTTTTTAGAATGAGTGCTAAGTTTGTTTCTAATTGTATGTTCCATTATATACTAATGTATAGGGGTACACAATATAAATATATAAATGCTATACATATTTTTCTTTTCTTAATATTCAAATATTGCTACTTCATTTTATTTTATAGCTTATTTATGGTTAGGTTTGGTTGTTTTTGTACTGCAAAATAAAAACTAAATTAATTGTTAAATTGAAATTGTGTTGAGTATTGAAAAATAATCCAATGTTTTGAAATAAATTGTCCTTGATGAGTGATCCCATATATTAGAAGATAAAGTAAATGGTGAATTCTTCTAACTGGAGGATGATGTGAAAGCCATCTGCTTTTCATCTTTCCACAAATGCAAAGTTTGCTAGCTTTATGACAAGACATTTATACCCTTTCTCTTCTGCAATTCACTTTAAAATTGGGTTGTGAGAGTTGCGGAAAAGACGGACTACTTTAAAGTAGCTTTGGATACTTTGTGACTTGGACATGGTAGAGATTTGGAGCACAGCCCTCTGGCCTCCCAGTATTATCTGGTCCATCTCGTGTCCCTGGAGCTGGGATTCTGAAGGCTGAGCCCATGCCCCTGCCACCCCACAGCGGATGGAGGGAGAACTGCATCAGCTGCCTTCCCAAGGTCGCAACTGGCCTAGAGAGAATGATAGCAGAGTGTAGGACACAGAATAATCAATTCAAGCTATGACAACCCAGATTCAGGAAAAGCTTTCTCGGAGCAATACAACAGTGGAACCAGTTGCCTAGAGAGGTTGTGGGCGCTCCCTCACTAGGGACATTCAGAAAGAAACTGGACAGCCATCTGAGGGGAGTGATGTAAACTGGTGTCTTGCAAGAGCAGGGGGTTGGACTCGTTGGCCTTCCTGGCCCTTTCCAACTCTACTATTCTATGATTTTATGAAAAGGGGGCAAGCTGGAGCATGAAGAGGAGGAGACTGGGCCTGATAGCCGACTGCCTCCAAATAGTGCCATAGCCTCCTTCCATTCCCCTCCCTGGTGCATCCTTGACATGGTCTAAAATGGCCATCTGGATCAAACAGATGACACACTACAGCGAGACGAAATAGTGCCACTGACACATCTTGTTCCATGCACTGGATACACATAAGCCTCCGATTCTGTGGAGCATGTGCATCTAAGGCAGAGGGCATATTGCACCCTCTGTGCATTAAAATGGATGCATGTGTATGGAGGAGTTTGCTTTTTGGTTATGCAATAGTAAAACAAAACAAAACACCTCATCCCCCTGGGCCTCCTTGTCTGCAGCCTGGATGGCTTGTTGCTGGCGCTTCCAGTCTTCCCAGTCCCAGTCTATCTGCTCACAGTTACTGCTGCTCCAGAACCTCCATGCAAGCTCAAAGCAAAACAACGCATCCTTTCTCAAACCATAATCCAGACTGCCTACTGCTGATGAAGAAACAGCCTTGGCCCCACTTGTACCTGCTGCTATCAAGCCCTCAAGTCAAGGCAGTGGAAAGCAAGCAAGTACCCAGACGATATCACTCACACAATTAATGGGCTTCTTAAATAGCAGATTGCAGGTTCCAGTGCCCCAGTGCTGGTGTGAGAGGTAGGGGGCCTTTAACCCTGTGCACCCTGCTGCAGTCCC